TTGTACTTTTAGAAAACCCATACAGACTTCCAGGCACAATACCATCCAAAGAAGATTACAGACATAATGGTTATGAGAGATGCCATATGGACTTTTGTAATTGTGCATCAAGTATTGCAAATCTGTGAATTAATGCTGTCTCTAAAAACATGACAGTACATCACTAGGCAGTAAATAGAATGGTACTTTCAAGGCATGTTAGGAATCAAAAGGAAGCATCTGAAGAATAAACAAACTCAGTGAGTAGAAGTACTACATAGTGTGGATATAGTGTGTTGCTTAAGGTTAGTAAATATTTAAATATGTATTCTTTGAGTTAGAGAGACTAGCAATAAGTCATATGTGCATTTTACAAAACCTTGTTAAAAAAAAATTACTCAGTGGCTGAGAATATTTTTTGTTCTATTATGGAATTTATGGAAATTCTTATTTTGTTCAGAATTTATTGTCAGATAGCACAATTTTATACTGTAGACAAATATCAATACTTAGATAAGCAGAGAAGGTGTTGCTATTGCAATTTTATATTGGTTTAAAATATATTCATGTTTGCTGAGCAATGAAGACGAAAGGGCTGCTGCTGCCTTTGCTGGACTTATTTTCATAAAATCATTTAGGTTAGAAAGGGCCTTTCAGATCATCAAGTGCAACCACTAACCCAGCACTGCCAAGCCCATTACTAAACCATGTCCCTAAGGGCCACATCTACACAGCTTTTAAATGCCTCCAGGGATGGTGAGACCACCACTGCCCTGGGCAGCCTGTTCCAATGCCTGACCACCCTCTAGGGGAAGGAACTTTTCCTAAGATCAAGTCTAAACCTCCCCTGGTGCAACTCGAGGCCATTTCCTTTTGTCCTTTCACTTGATATTTTGGAGAAGAGGCTGACCCCGCCTCACTATGACTGCCTTCTGGGAGGTTTGGATGTGTTACTGGCACTTTTGAAACGTGAATTCATCAGCTTCCATGGGCACTAAAATGAACTTTGTAAAATATACAAAATTCAGACTTTGAGTAAAAGGTGATTTGGGAATGAACCTGAGATTGGGAGAATTGAGATCCTGGGTTCTGTCTAGCAATCTGTCGCACACTTGCCTTGTGATATTCTTGTGCAATATTCTTGTTGCTTTTACCATGACCTCCAAGATATAAGGTTGTGATAAGATACTTGATCTTTTAAACACTTTTTAGGTATTTTCAAACCATTTTGAAGGTGGACTTATAGCTTATTTTAGCTATAGATAGAGATTGACTACAAATCACATTTATAATTTTCATCATGGTGATAATATCTGTTGGGGTGCTTGAACGTGCAAAGTACTTCATAAATATAACTGTGCCATTTCAAGAGCATCTCTGAAATTTGTTTGATACCTTAATTTCTGTAGCAGACTTTTCTGAGAAGGAAGGTTCTGCAGTTCCCTCAATCTGTTATACTTTAGGAGAATCTTGCTCCTGTGTGCTGGATTTGGGCACACCTTTCTGGCAATCATTAGTTATTTTATATACTTGTGTTTGGGACTTTTCTCTTTTATTTTATTCTTTCCCTACCATGCATTTTTATTTTCAACTGGTACTGTTCCCATCCTGCCATGTCTCCATGGAAACTTGGGGACAATTCTGCTCTTGAAGGGCTGTGTTAAATAACAGCCAGGGTTAGACAGGGGAAACAGGTCAGAAGCAAGACCTTCTAAACTGAACATTTTCTCCCTCAAGGTTTTAGATGGAAAAGTGTCACATAGGGTTTGGTTTTGCAATCCCCCCATACGTATTTTGGTGTTATTTGGGAATGTTGTCTTAGAGTTGATGGTCTTCAAAGGAGTTTTAGGAAAGCCTAAATTCCTAGCAGGGGGAATGCTTTTACTGTTGAAATCAAGAATGCTCAGTTTGCCTTCTTGTCCTGGTGGCAGTAAGAAGGTACAAATGAGATGAGAAAACAGCCCTTGGGTGGAGGAACACAATCTTTGATCCTTGTGTAAATTTGTGTTTGACATAAAATATCCTTGTAGGCAGGGGTAAGCTCAAAGGAGATTGTCTGCTTTTGGATGTCTTTTGTAAAGGGCTTGAGATGAACAGCGGATTTAATAAAACATTTTTTCTTAATAGATTATATATTTATGTGTTTATCTACTAAAGATGGTGCTAAGCAGTGACTATTAGACTGTTCTAATTCATGTGGTTTCTTTTTCTAGTGCGTTCTCTTGGCTCCATTGCACTTAGAAAAGCTGAAGATGTTGACTTCAAGTATCATTTTAATTTCTTCAGTGTCAACTTTAATGAGGAGTTGGTTGCATTGTATGGTGGTAGTCTGCAACGGCAGACGAAGTTTGTGCATGAGTGCATAAAAGTAATTCTTAAGTTGTACAGGGTAAGTGGTGACATATGCTGAGTAATGTACTTGCATTTGGGAATGGATTTCTGGGTGCCTTTTCTGCTGGAAAACTGAAGAGTGATGAATAAGGGAGGAAGACTTTATAGTGTGTGTAGATAATTGAAAGTGATAATAATGCAACAGAGATTTGCTTCTCCTTAACAGATTTTTATTGCTTGTGACAATCCCAGAGCTTTGGTTTGGTTCTGTATTGTGTTTCTAAATAAATACCTCCATACACGGTGTATACTTTTTTCTAGTAGAGATGTAAACTTTCTCTAGCTTATTAAAATATTAATATAGCATTGCCTCAAATCTAGTTTTCACCAGGAAAGTTCTTTGGTATACTTTGTTCCTAAGAGTCTCAGAGATTAAAATAAGCTTAAGTTTATTAAGTTTACACAGGGTACATAGTATTTCCTCTTGAGCCTGAAACTGAAATTAAGCACATTTTTTGCGATAGAAACTGAATTTATACTCGTTTTGTAAACTTGTCAAGTTAATGTTATCCTTGAAAGGCCATAAGTTAATTTTGGGGGGAAAAAATCCCCAACTAATAACCACAGTTCAATGTCAGACAAGTTTCTGATGTGTCTGATTGCTCTTTGCTTAAGGATGGAGAATTTGCACCGACCAGCGTTGCAATAGTAGGTCATTCCATGGGTGGTCTTGTTGCAAGAGCGTTGCTCACTCTGAAGAGTTTTAAACCTGAACTTATCAACCTCCTCATTACACAAGCCACACCTCACGTTGCACCTGTAATGCCTTTGGACAGATATCTTACTGGTAAGTGTTGTGGGTCATCTGATTACCTCTTATTTCTTTATTGTTCCTCTCAAGCACTAATAGGTGAGATTCTTGCAAATCGACAGTAATGGGTGCTGCTTTGTTTACTGTAATTAATCTGTTCCTTTGTTACTCAGGTAGTTGTTTGAGAGCGCCAGGATACTCAAAGAAAGTTGTATTAAATGGATTATGTGGACTTGAGTTTCTGGGCAAGGCCTGGAGCTCTCAATAATTTGTAATTTTAATAAGTTGCAGGTCACGTTACTAAATTTGTAAGCTCCCCAATGTGTGATGTTTTTTCTTTCCTTTTTTCTCCCCTCTTTTAAACCTTGAGCTCTGTAATGGCTTTCTTTATCAAATTAATTGCCTAAATAGTGTAATTTTGGTAGAAGTTTGTAAATTTAATGTTTTTCATGCCCAAAGGTGTTGGGGGTAAGAATATTTAATATAGATATAATATTATATTTTATGTAATGTATTTGCAGAAAAGGTCATATTTTCTCCTCACCTAAAAAACTATGGCACAAAGATAAAGAATAATCATTATGCATGTACTATACACTTCCTGAAAAAGCTAGATTTGATTAAACTGTACTGATTAAATATGTCCTTAGTGATAATTCTGCTGCTACACGTAGATACCAAGAGAAGGGGAAGAGATATTCATTTTCATTATTGTTTGTGACACCCAAGAGGAATGGATTATCTTTAGCTGCTGGATTTGATTTCTTGTGCTTGTATTAATTCTCCGTCCTACAACTGATTTCAATGCAGTGCTGCTTCCTTGCTGAGTGTTTCTGGACCATGGTTGTCCTTCAAATAAATCTGTGGTTTGCTGCTTTTAACAATGTATGTGTTCAGCTGGTATAGAAAGTGTAAGTGTATCTGTCTTTCCTAACTCCCTGGGGCTAAACCAATAATTTTCCTCTCTTATATGAATCAAAAGTGCCAATCAGAGCTCAATCCTCTAGGGTTCGGAAACTTTTAGTTTGATGTTTATATTGCCTTTTTTAATATGAAATAGGCTTATGGGAAAATTGTGATTGATTTTAATATATTTTATAGATTTTTATACAGCTGTAAACAATCATTGGATGCTAAAGGCCCAAGATTTAAGAAATTTAACTACCCTTTCTGTGGCGGGAGGATTCAGAGATTACCAAGTTCGTTCAGGACTGGCTTTTCTACCGAGATTGAGTCAACATGACAGTGCCTTATCTGTTGTGGTAAACAAGCAACCTATTTTTTTGGTTTTGCATGGAGCTATGTTAGATAGCCATTTGTGGAATGCATGTTTTGGTGTCTAATTACAGTCTCTATGTGCAGCGTAGTGTAAATAAATGTGAAAATACTACACGTGAAAACACAAAGTAGATAGTATGTGGTTATAAGATCATAAATAGTTGATGTAGTATAAATCTACCACTTGGTACCATTTCTGCTTATGACCTTCTTGCACTGTTTCAGCTTCAAAACTCAGGTTTTATTTCCCTGCATTTTTGCAAGAGATATGTGTGTAGAGACTGGCAGATGTGCAGCACAGAAGTTGAGTTCTTGTTTGATTACAGAAAGAGAGCTCTAGCTTGGAGCCTTCTTTTTGTATTTATTGTTTTTCAAAGAATTCAGGAATAGAAAGGATGTAGAGGATCATCAAGTCTAGTCTTCTGCTTTTGCAGGCGTCTATCCTTTCCAAATTAATCAAGAGACATCAGAAAGTATTCAGGTTTGTCATTCCATCCCCTCTCCATCAACCTGTTCCCTACCTGTTCTCCCTCAGCATAGGGAGACAATTTGTAATTTCTGACTTCCATTTACTGCACAAACCAGTCTTTTAACGCATTTGTTCTGACATCAGCTTGAAATATTATCTGAAATAGTTGTCATTCCCTTGGTGTTTACCTCCCTGTCTGTTGTACAGAAAGCTGTCTATAAATAGTCTCAGCTCAGATCCTGCTAGGCTAAGAAGATTAACTCTGCATTCCCTTTGTCCTAGTAACCATTCTCTGCATCTGCTCTACTTTCATTTCTCTTGAGTGTTGGTGACCAGAATGTTGCATGAGATTCTACGAGTAGTGGTACCAGTTCTTTGTTTTGTTTTGGGGGCTGTGTTGTGGTTGTTCAGTTTGGGGTTTTTTTTTCGTCCCAGGTGTAATGCATTAATGGTTCATAGCTTCAGGTTGTGCAGACAGGTGATGAGCTGCATTTGTAGGAGGTTTTTTTGATATTGTTAGTCCTTAAAATGCGATATTTGCAATATACTTACACAAATGAATAGCTTCAGACTGTCCAGTTCTTTCTGCGTGGTGTTCTGATGCTTTTTTTCATTGAGAATGCCCTTGGTTTTTCTACAGCAGATTTATTGGCATGCTTCTATTCTTGTGTGCCAGGATCAATTACTAAAATAGTAAGATTAGTCATAGAAGCAGTCTTTGAAGAAATTTTTGGTAAGTTTCCTCCACTCCATAATTTACCCTTTCACCATTAGTCTCTGCTATCTAACATAGATAACTTGGTGGTTTTGTTTTATAATTTCCACTTTACAAGTGCTTCATTGCTTGTAAGATCTTTGACTGAAGAAGTCATTCTGTGGTACTCTAGGCCCTGAAACTCTTAAGATAAACTCTGTTCTTTTTAATAATTGCACAAGTATTTAAATAAGGAGGGGAAAGACGTGCTTATAATTTGAAAATGTTGAATACTAACAAAAGATTAACTTTTTTCTTTCCCCAAACAGACCTCAGCTGTGCCTAGAGCTTGGGCCTCAACTGACCATCTCTCCATAGTGTGGTAAGTAATGGAACAGAGGTTAATTGACTGCCTGTGTATACCTCTGTTCTCTGCTGTTATCACTTTATACCATATTTTAACTGTAGCATAATATTATGGTGATGTCTCTTCTGACCACTTTTATTACCCTGGATATTTCCTTTCTAGATTTAATTTTACTTCTTCTTTCTTCTAGGTGCAAAGAACTGATCCTGGCTACCATCAGAGCTTTATTTGATCTCATAGATGAAAATACAAGGCAGGTCTGTATATGTATTTACCCATCACACTTTCTTCTTTCATCCCAGAATGCCTAGTCAGGAGAAATATCTTCCTATTTTACAGAAAACTCCTTTTTGATTATTCTAAGTCATGCTGAGAAAATTGTTGTCATTTTGTCCCAGTCACCGAAAAATTCTGTGACTTTGTTGTTTGACCAATGTGTCAGAAATAATTAGAGGTTTACTCAGTTTTCATTATTGACTTCTTGATGCTTTATAGCTGCTGGGGTATGGGCCAAACATTTCTTCTAATGCAGCAGGTTCAGTTGACCTTGTACCAGGATAAACAAATTTTTTTAGCTGTGAATGTGACCTCTCAGTGTGTGTTCAAGTCACCTCCTCTGACCACTATACAAAGGATGAAAAAGCATGTGTGGTGATCATAATGACCAGCATACATCTGAGGTAGTTTTTTTTTTTTTTCAAAAACCACTTACAAAAATAGAATGCAAGTAAAGTACCTGCATATTTGTGCACCTCCAGCTACCGTTATTTATTGCTTTTCTAAATGGATATCCTACACTTACTTTTTGAAAACTCTTGGAGAATCTCATATTGTACAATTTTTTTTCTACGATGTTATGCAGTAATTATCATGAATTGGAATTAAGGCCCAAAGGGTTGAAAATACATCAGAGCAGAGCCTCAGACATAGAGGAGGAAGGACTCCAGGTGTTCTTTTTGAAGCTGTTTGGGGCAGACTTCTCTCGTTTCTCATGTGTACTCATTTTCATGTGTGATTTAGAGAGTCAAAAAGGGAGTACAGTTGTTCTCTAGTTTACTGACTGTGCTGGAGGATAAAAATTTTCAGAAATCAGTACCAATGACCACAATTTTTGAAACAAAAATTAGTCCAGGAAAATTTGTTTGGGGAAAAACCAAACCAAACCAATGAAACAAAAAAAAAAACCAAACAAAAAAATCGCATCCCCAAACAAAAGCGAATCCTGTTGTAGCTTTACAGCTGTTTGGATGCTTGAAATAGTCAGAAGAGATGTAGAGCAAGCTGGATTTGTGAGCTGAGATTAGTAAACCTAAGTGTGAGAATTTTTCCTAAGCTCTGGCATAAGTGTGTTATTTCAGGAAGAATGCATGTGTGTCTATAGAGAAAGTTCAATGGAATGGTTTCCGTGTGTTAAGAGTAGGTGAGGATATAAAACTTCTGGAAGTTTTAACTATAAACTTGTAGACTTTTTTATGACATGTATACTTTCTGTATTGCACTGATTGACTATTGATGGCACTTTTCTGTTCAGGTTATTGAATTTAAAATAGAAAAGGTACTATGTCTTCTCACAATCTCTCCAGCCTTTCGTCCACAAAACTCTATTGTTTTTGTTAGCTGTGATCATGTGATGATCTTAAATCATACACATTGGTAAAAATTTGATAATGTGCTCTTTTTTTAGATAACTGAGGATCCAAAGAAGAGAATGTCTGTACTGAATCACCACTTTGTAAGACACCCTGCAAAGATATTTGAGGAAAATCCTGAAGTTTTTACAGAACTCCCAGGTGTGCAGCAGTTTTGTTTTGAATAGGATTCAGTGATGCTCCTTTGTTATTAGTTCATCTTCTCACTAACAATGTTTTGGAATACACTTTGTCCTTCTTTAGACATTGCTAAAATGATATGTGGGATACAGACCTAAATGATCAGTTTTCTTTGGTTTTAAAAGTAAAGAGTTTAAAAGGGGTAGGAGCAAAAATCTGTCACTTTTATATAGCTTGAATTCTGGAGGATGCACAGGAGTCATATTTACACCAGGATGTCCAATAAAAAAATCTCAGGGACTGGGAATAGCTGGATGTCAAAAATACAGTCTAATCTACTCTTACATCCCGTGTTTGCAAGAGGGATAGTAGGGGTGTTATAGAGCTGTTATGTTAGTTTTGTGCTGCTCATGGAAATCCTGAATATTCAGATCTGCTTCATCAATCACTTCCTTTTTGCCATGACCTGGCAGGGTAAGATGGACTGCACACCAAGGGTTTCCTTGTAAATTGCCTTCCTGAGAATGGTAGCTAAAAGTGAGAAATTTTGACTGTGTGGAGTCTTGGGAACTAAATACAACTTTAGTAGGGCACAGCTTTATTCCTAGTTTTGCTGACCTGGGCTGAACCATTTTATGAAAACGATTTTATTTCAGGGATTTTCTCAATGTAAGATACTGCAGAAATACTAAAGTAGTTTGTACTTTGGCATCCAGATTTGGCCACCTTTTATAAGAAGGGATTTAGGCATTGGCATATACTGAAGTGAGTATGGAGTGGAAGACCACCAAAATGGTTAGTCCTGGGGCATAGGAGGCAGGGGAAAGAGGCTGAGTTAACTGCAGTTTTTCACCCTAAAGAGAATGCTGAGGGGAATCCTCTTGCTGTCTTCAACTACCTAAATGAAAGACTGGAGAGAAGATGAAGTTAGATTTTTCTTGGAGGTGAGCAGTGATAGTACAATAGGCAGTAGAATCCTGTTGCAACAAGAGACATTCCAGTTGGATGTTAGGAAAAAGTACTTCACCCAGGAAGGTGGTCAAACGAAGAGGTGCCCAGAGAGGTTGGGAAACTGATTTTGTTTGTTTGTTCACCTTTTTTGGGGTCAGTTTTTAGCAGTAAGGAGGAATAAGTTTAAATTGGATTTCATGTTGGCATCTTCCTTATTTGTGCTGAGCTCTTGACACTTTGTGGAATTTCTGTGATGGACTTGTTACTCTAGTTACATGGAAGAAAGATATTAACCTTCTTGCATGACAATTGACATTGTTTGTATCTCTGATCTCTTCATTATTCTGTCTTACTCTTTTTCCCCAGACATATCTTTGAACTGCTGCAGTTTTCTGTACGTGTTATTCACTTCATTGCTGATGTGTTTCTGCACAGCCTGTATCAGTTTTAAAAGGGCTGACAGGAGCAAAGACTGAGTCTGTAGTTGACTCAGCTTTAATCAGTCACCCTGTAATTACATTAGTAACATTCAGTTTGTTTTGTTGCCTTTCGATCTGTGTTTCAAGATCCGTAGGGTTTTTATTTTACAATTTGTATTTAATAACAAGATCTTAGGATTTTGCTGTTTCCTGTGAATTTGGTGATAACTGTTGCATGTCATTCTAAGCAGTAGCAACCCTCAATGTTGATTAGAACTTATGAAGTTTATGCCCATTTACGGATACGAGAGAAGACCTTGGTAAAAGTTAAGTAAATATAAGATTTTGGATAAAAGGATAATAGTTCCTGCAGTGTGGCATATAAAAACATGTGTTTTTTGTAGGAATTTTCATGTGGATTACAGTCAAAGCCTCAAAATGGACTTATTCAGTTTACAATGTAAGTAATGTTTTTTCCTCATTGTGTTTTTGTATTTATTTTGGTGGTTTTTGTTTGTTTTTTTAACTAATGAGCTTTTTTTTTTTCTTTTAAGGATTCTGATGGAAAATATTTCACATTTCCTCTTGCAACCCACAGAAAATCATACAGTCATGTTTACTGTGAAAATAGTATGTTGGTGAGAAAATACTTCTTTCATGTCTGGAGTTTGTTTATAAAGCTGTGGTTTTTTTTAATTTATATTTGCTGCAGTTTTAAGATAGTTTAACGGACAGTTGTTGAAATGCTGACATCCATTTACATTCACAGCTTAATGCATTGTGTAAGATGTTGTTGTAACTACCTGTTGTAGCATGTCACACTTGGTGTTCAAGATCTGAAACTTTCAATGCCACCTGAACATCAAATGTTTTATTTTTGACTCTTATGGTTAGCTCTAGATTACTTGGTCCTTTACTTTGGTGCAGTTCTGTATTGATGGTTTTGAATGAAGATGCTATTTTTCAGTGCTGCCATGTTTTTCCCATATTTCTAATTTGGGAAAGTTATTTATAGGTTTGCTTTCCCACAATACAATTAAAGTGAGTCTGCAAGGCTACAAATGTCTTTCACTAAGCAGTGGAAGAGAATGGAAGGCAGATGAGGAAACAGCACCATCTCCATTGTCTCCTATTGAGAGGAGACACCATAATGTGCAGCTCTTATATTTTTAGTTCAAGACACAGGCATTCAGCCAAAATTTTTTAAAATTTTTTTACAAGAATTAATTTAGTCTCTTGGCAAACTGAAGGTGGATAAATATTCTTTTCAGAATTTACATATTTTAGATTAGTGGCAAGAATATTGACATACTTTCCTGTTCCATCCTGCCTGTCCCTGTTGCCACTCCTCCCCTTAGGAAATACCACCAATGTGAAAAATGATTGTCTGTCCTTGGTGCTTTTCTAATGGTCCTTCTCAGTGGCACTTCAATGTTTACCTGTATGTTGTAATCTTAGTTGTACTTTAATAAGATAACTTTGGATACAGTGTCTTGAAGACAGGGTTAATACAACTTGAGGAGGAGGAAGGAGGTAGAAAACAATATCTGAGATCCTTGCATCATGGTGCTTTTGCTTCAGAACAGTTAAATTCTCAAGGGAGGGAGCAGTAGAACATGAAATATCTAAAGTATTCCTCTACTACTTAAAATAGTGCCTTGAGACATTTCTTTAAGTTAGAAGAGATAAAGCATGATATGTAAGATGGGTATTTTTTGAAGACAAATTATGAAAGCTTGTTTGCTTAATCTTGTATTTATTCATAAATAGAAATGGTGGCCAATTGAAGTTATTCAAAATGGTTCCTAGAAACCCCACCACTCAGTCTTATGCTTTACCTTTCCATCCTTGTAATTGCAAGATTATGATATCAGACTTTTAATGGAGGATATCACTTGGTGTTAACACAGAAGTCTGACTTCATTGTGAAATGGAAAAAAGATAGGTGAATATCTTTCATTCTAAATAACTGAGGAAATCTGAGAGAGAGTGTTTTTATGATCATCTTCACTGTTATGTTTCAGCATTTAACATCCTTATGAGAGTTTGGTCACTGTAGTGATAGCTGCTGTGGACACACTGAATAGAAAAGGAGTGAGACAAAGCTGAAAGTTTGTTCTCTTAGTAAGTTAATTGCACCAAGGTTCTGCTGCCAGAGACAGTTGCTGATATCTGGTATACTGAAATATTTAGCATGTAGAAATTTTGGAGATTATCAGCAGCTTTAACTCCTGCATTGTTTAGAGTAAAGAACTGGTATTTTCAATATATTTATAAATGCAGTCACATATAGGTAATGTACTGTTTTATGGTATTAACTTTACAGGACACAAGTAGTTGGATTTATGGCTGCATGAACAGTAATTCATCGATGTGGTGAGTATGAGCAGTTCCTGTTCTTTATCCAAATAGATCTTGTGGATTGTGTTTGAATTTAAAGCATATAAATAGTCTTTGTAGGAAGGAAGAGATTGGGAAGTAAAATTATTATCGTAAAGAATTCATGCTTTCGTTTCACCAAGAGAACAGGAAAGATAGGTTTTCTCAAAATAGGTGATTTTTTTCTTCATTAAGTTGTATTTTTGACCTTCATAGCAGTGAGAAGTCGTTCTTGTTGCTCTCTTGTGGACACTACATGCTGTGCTGGATTCCAAAATTATGGAGCTTGTAGCATCTGGATGGTTCTGGTAGCTGGCTGCATGGTGGCACTCCAAGAGTTGCAGTCAATGACTCCATGTCCAAGTGGAGGATAGTGATGAGTGGTCAGTATTGGAACCAGCACCTTTTAACATCTTTATGGGCAACATGGACAGTGGGATTGAGTGCACCCTCAGCAAATTTGCCAACAACACCAAGCTGTGTGGCATGGTCAACATGCTGGAGGGATGAGATGCCATCCAGAGGGACTTGGACAGGCTTGAGGGGTGGACCCATGCAAACATCATGGAGTTCAAAAGGCCCAAGTGCAAGGTCCTGCACCTGGGTCAGGGAAATCCCAACAAAAGTACAGGCTGGATGGTGAATGGATCGAGACAAACCTTGGGGAAAGACTTAGGGGTGTTCATGGACAGGAGGTTCAAGATGACTCTGCAATGTGTGTTTGCAGCCCAGAAAGCCACCCACGTCCTGGGCTGCATCAAAAGCAGTGTGGCCACCAGGGAGGTGATTCTGTCCCTCTACTCTACTCTTGTGTGACCCCACCTGGAGTGCTGTATCCAGCTCTGGGTCCCCAAACACATGAAAAATGATGACCTGTTGGAATGAGTCTGAAGGAGTGCCACTAAGCTGTTCAGAGGGCTGGACCACCTCTCCTATGAAGACAGGCTGAGAGAGTTGGTATGTTCAGCCTGGAGAAAAGAAGACTTCAGGAAGACCTTATAGCAACCTTCCAGTACCTAAAGGGGACCTACAAAAGAGCTGGAGAGGAACTCAATGTACATACACACCATGTTAGAACTGCTGCAAGCTCTTTAGCAGCTAACAGAATTTTTGATTTATGTGGTATACTTTAGATGTTCCCATAGGAAGAATCAGTACTTCTGATGTTTCAAAGGTGATAATAAAACTGCATGTTAATTTAATGCCAGTGTTCTTTTAGCTCATGAAGAGTTTTCATTTTGTGTCTGAAGTTGCATGCCTGATAATGCAACTACGTGTTTTGTGTATGACAGAGTTGGAGCTTTGTTGAACTTGTTTTTACAAAACAAGATTTGCACTATCTGAAATCATATAGTTTGATAAATTACAATGATAGCTAACTGCAGTACACCCAAACTTGTTCTCAATTTAAAATGTGAATCCAGAGAGAGAGAGAGAGAGAGAAAAGCTGGTATGTTAATCCTCTGCCATAATGTAGGGCCTGCATAATGAATATGCTCATCCTTTCATGTGCATGGATTTTTACAGCCTGGAAGCTACTGATCTATCCTGGAGAGCTGAGTTACTTCCAACCACCAAGGTAAGTACTGTACATAATTTGTAGGAGGGAGAGGTGCTTTGGGGAGTAGTTGCAAGTCATAAGGGAAGATCTGTTCTGTTTACAGCACTGGAACATGCAGTTGTATTCCAGAGGAAGGGGTACAACAGGTAGAAAACTGGCAAGGGGCAAAGCTGAGGGGTATGTTCAGTAATGGCTTTTTTTTTCTTTCCTTCTGTTTCTTTTTTCCTTTCCTTTTTAAGGTTGTAATGCTGAAACTTCAGGACTATCCTTCCTTGTCCCACATTGTCATTCAGGTACCAGCTGCAGTCGGCAATAAGGTAAAAAATTATGGGATGCAGAAATTGCTCGCTTAGTGTGTTCATAACTCAGGTGCTGTGACAGAAAGAAAAGGAAGTATATTAAATTTATGCTAAGCTACTTTGAGAAACCATAGACCTACACTCCACTGTGGTTTGAAGGTAGCTTTTGTTATCTTCTGAAAGCTCAGAAACGCTCCATTTGATAAAATACCAAACACAAGGCATGAATAGCATACATACATACGAAGCAACAGTTCTCAAATCAGTTTTTAAGGACTTCTTGTTGTAAATTCTAATGGTTTGTTTTTCTTAATATACTGTACGCATTCCTGAATATTTATGCCTTTGAACAGTCATTTTTCTTATCCAGGGTAGCAGAGAATATATATATATTATTGAAGACAACACATATGGATTCTGGGGAGCATAGGTCAGATACCTCTGCAAGCTCTGAGACCACAAATAATGTGGTAGACTGAGGTGTGCATAGTTTAATAGTTCTGAGTTTCACAAATGAGTTGAATATCTTTGCATCAAGAGCTCCCAGAATCCCAACAAGAGGAACACTTTTAGTGAATCTAAACAGACTTTGCATATTACCCAGCTGGGTCTGGCAGGCCTTTCCAGTTGGTCCTAAAAATGGCAGAACACTGCACTTGAAGAATTTCTAGTGTAAGTAGATCTGACATTCCTTTCTGTGACACAAATACACTTTCTGCATCTGTGGTTTATAATCTGTGACCCAAGAAATTATTCACAGCTAAAGCGAGTTTTAATGTTCATCTGTGAGTGTATCTTTAGATAGTTGTGACAGGGACATCTTGCAGTTGAATTAGTAATACACAGTGTTGGGGGTAAGCAAAGATAGAGATCACTTGTGAAATGTGATTGTCAAGTACAAAGATGTTATAGTCTTGTGCTTGGTTTAGATCTGTTTTCAATATCCTGAATTGCAGTATACTTTGGGCTGTGAATTCTTCAAAGAGGATTCCAGAACAGTACAGCTTCCTGTGACACATCTTTTTTCATTTGGTAAGTACAGGATATTACTTTTGAAAGAAATGGAAAACTAATATTACTAACCTTTGGATAATAAATTTACCTAAAAATTTCATGTTGGAGGTTTTTGGGGGTTTGTTTTTCACTAAAGTTAATACTGCTTTTGTTAGTAACAGACAAAGAAATAAGAAATATGGGGGTTTTGACTAACAGATGTAAAAGCACATAGGTCTCCTGGAAAAAAAAAATCCGAAGATGTAATGAGTTCTCAGATAATTTTATCTAATAAGTGAAAACATTGCATCCTTTGCAGGGCTTTCTTCAAGCAAAATTCTATTAAATGCAACTGGCTTACTTTACAATGTACAGCTCCAGCACTTCAACCAAGTAAGAATGCTCCTTAATTTTTAGAGCTAATGTAACTGCTCTTGGGAGAATGTGACTAACTTATTTTTTTTATTGTCTAGATATATCAAGCTTTCAAAATTTATATAGAGAGCCACTGCCAGTCAGTCAAAGGTAAATATACGTCTTCTAAAGTATAAATGTATAAAACAAATTCTTGGAAAGTTTCAAGACTGAAGCTGGTAGAAACTGAAGTCCTCTCATGCAGTGAGGTTTAGGCAGTAGTGTTATAATCTGCTCAATTGTCTCTGCTAATATCTCTCACTTCCCACTTTTTATTAAGAAGGATAGCTCAAAAAATTGAAAAATTAGTCCTCTGATGTTTGTTTTTCTTACTTCTCAGCAAAGGGAAGTTGAACTTTCAGCAGGATTCTGCATTATGTTGAAAGTGTTCCTCAAGAAAAGCGCATTTGGCGACGATTTTTATTTGCTAATTATGGAACTCAAGTTTGAATGCTGAGCTACCTAAGCTTAAACAAGATGGGTTGCTAAAGGACTCTGTTTAAAAAAAAAAGTGATGGATTTCATTAGATTAGGGTTTCAGTTTCGTATTGAAATGCAGAAGTTTTCTCATAACTGTCAGTACTTTGAACATCAGTGTCTCTCACTGTCTTGTCCTGTAACAGCCTGAGTTAAAAAATGTCATTTTTGTTTCCTGCTAACTGCACTGATCTGCATTGCAGTATCAATTGCAATGTAACTGCAAGCCCAGTGATTTGGTATGCCACCTTTGTTTTACTGGAATTGTAGTTTTTACAGACAGTTGCCACATCTCATTTGTAATTAATTTTATATTTTTCAATTCTCTTCCATTTCAGAAAGAAAACCTAGTGTTTACAGACTTCATATACCCTGGTCACATGAAGACTCAATAGTTGTAGCAAAGTAAGAAATTTAACAATTATAACTTACTTCTTGGTTTTTTTTGAGAATATTTGCATCCTGTTGTAATATTTCTGATATGAGACAGTTTCTCCAGTCTGAACTGTATGGCTTCTGCATCTTTACCTTTCTGACCTTGTTGACAAAGTTGGTTTGACTTTTTCTCAGAATAAGAATACCTACTAACTGTTTGTGTAATGGTTCTCACTAATTTTCTCAAAAAAGTTGAACCACCTGACTGTGTATCAGATGGTTGGAAAACTGTCTTCCTTGTTTACTTTCGAAGGCTTAAGGATACCTCCTGTTTTCCCCTCCTCCCCGTATTTTCTAGCAGCATAACACTTACAGGAAACCGAATTGTATTCTTGAGAATCCATCCTTCCCATCTTGTCACTCAGCATATTTACCTGTTCTGTGAGGCAGTGTGTTCCCTGAACTCGTGTGCTTTCATTAGTGCTATGCCCTTGATAGTTCAGAGGAGAGTGGATTGAGGATTGAGAATGTCATGGAGTTCTTTGCAATAAGATTAACAAGTTCCTTATACCATTTTGCTCATAGCTTGTGGTGACACTTGGTGTACTAGATCTGCTTTACTCTTGTTGAAAACTAAGGCATGTTTGGCTTTTTTTTGGTTATAAGGGCAACAATTACCATTTAAATTGCTGTTTCAGAATTCCATCTCTTACTGAGATTTCTGCAAAGCTGCATATTGCTCAGCCTCAAAATGACAGCAGGGCTCCAGAGTTAAATATCTACTCTTCCTCAGACTGTCAGTATGAAGTGAGTAATACAGTGTTATTTTATAGCTAGTTTGCATTGCTGTATAATTTATCCCTAATTTAGTTTTTTAAAACATGTAGCTAATTAATCAAAATAAATAATAAGCAAATCTAAAGATGGGCTGTTGGACCTTTTTATAAATGTATCGTTACAAGTATTTTGCAACTGCAGAATAGTATTGAAAGTTGGACTCTAAGCAAAACTTTAAAGCATTTGTTTTTAAAAAGTCAGTAGTAGGGTGGTGTACATTTTAGTTGTAGGATTGCTATATTCTAATACTTGAGTTAGCTTCTTAAAAATTGAAGTATTTTGTACTTATGCTTACCATTGTATAAAATATTTGTTTTTTATCAAGGTAATTCTGAAGACGTCACTTCCACAGGTTCTTGGGCAAGTAAGAAAGCCTAAATTGTTTTTTATGTCAGTAGCATCTATAGAAATGTTTACTTCTTCCCTTCTCTGCTGTGGTACTTCAGATTCCTTCGTGATGCCAAGAGGAACACTAACTACTCAACGATCCCTTCACAACCGTGTCACTTGGCAGGGCACCCCTTCTGGAAAAATGTCAGGCCTCAGTTTTCAGAGGATTAGAAAAGCACTCTAGCTCTAAAGAGCTGCTGTAAATGTGGAGCATTTCACTTTGTGGTTAGCTCAATATCTCTAAAAGGGATGACACTATAGGTCACTTTAACTTTCTTGTCTGATGAGTCAGTAGTGTTAAAACTTTAAAATACATTTGGCATCAATTAAAAGTTAGGGGGAAAAGTCTGAGTAGATCCATATGCTCCTTTTCAACAAATTTTCTTCGGTTATCAATGAAGAATACATTTCAACATGGGTATCAGTAAAAATAGACTAGCCATCTGCAGTTTCCTGGGTCTAAAAAGTAATTAATTTGCAAGCACCTAAGTGTAGTGCTGGAATATTACTGCCAAGGTTCTCTCTTTGAATGTATGCATTTATATGAACGACTTCTGATGTTGTTGTTATTTTAGAAGAATTTATGTGCTATTTGTATATTAATCATGACTCAGGAGACTGGAAGCCAATTAATACAGACATGTAATTGCTTCTAAAAATTCTTTGCCTAAAAACATATCTAACTATATGCAGATTTTGCTTGGAATGTGGCCTTTTAATTTTTTGAAACTTATTTTACTGAAATGTATGATACTATATTTTTTTAATATTTGTTGTGACTGGGAAAAAAGTGTTTATAATTTGGTCATTTATCAAAACATGTTTGATTAAGCCATTTATAAGAGATTCTAGTATTTTCCATATGTAATATTAATTGCTAATGGAGTTTATAAAATACTTATGCATAAAGAGGAGAAACTGTTTGAATCTTTTAAGAAATATTTTCTAATTGCATTATCATCTTGACTTCATGATAATATTTATGTGTGTGTTTTTTAATATATTTTTGTAGATAGTTATCCTTATATCCTTGTCTTTCAGATAGTAAGGTTCCATGCTGGTGCTTTTCCTGTCTATATTGTCTCTAATATTCTTCTTACTTATGGAGGACAATTGAGCACATTGAGATCAACAGGTAGCTTTCTAGAAATTTATTTTTTTTCTGTCACAAGTGTTTTTAGAGCAATTACTTAATCAATTTACCAATGAAAGACCAGCTAGTTGTGAATTTTTTAAGCTAAGTGTCATTCAACTTATGCAAATACATGGATCTATGCTCTTTGGTTTTGGTTTTGTTTGCTGGTAGGTCTCCAAGGTTGTGTTGTAGCAGAATATTTCTGTATCATTTTATTCTGCAATCCCTTCTTCATGAATTATTTGTGTTGCACACTATTTTTGCATTAACAGAAGTCTACTTAAAAATACATTAAAAAGTTTAAAATATATTGTTAGTATGCAGAAACCACTTTATTTCTTGCATGAAGATGAGATTTGCAGAATAACTTTGAGCCATGTCTTCAGACAAAAGACATTTTATTAAAATGCAGGTGGTGTTTGTTAACAAACTCCATAATGTCTCTAAAAGCTCTTGTGACTTATTACCTAATGTGAGTGATGCAGTGAATAAGGGCCTTGGTGATGAAGTATGCAGACTTGCAGTACTGTTACAAGACATGGTTATCTTTTCAAGTAAACTTTCAAAGCGTTGTCTGAATTTATTTTTGTTGTGAATGATGTTTGTTAAAGTTCTTGACATAATAGTAACCACAGATACTCTCTGTTCTTGATTCTAGGCCAGTGTTCAGACTTTTCCCTTGAACTAGTTAGGACAGCTAAGCCCTACAAAGTAGAACCTCTGATAAGCATTGTTGTGTTTCTGCAGGGGTGAGTCTGCATCATTTATTTATTTATTTATTTATTTATTTATTTATTTATTTATTTATTTGAAACAGTTTCAAAAACAGAAGTTTCAGTAAAACTATTGCTGGGGAGGAATATTATTTTATCTCTAGTCATTGTGAGCACCTGACTGTGATTTTGTTTAAAAGGCTGTAGTAGGAGGAATAGTTGATAGGTATCTTACTGTAACACAGTTGGAAGTGATAAATAATACTGCTTTCATGTTTTTGGCAGGTTTAACTGGTTTAGAGAGATATGGGAATCACTGTCACTACCAGAGGTGGATGCTGCTGTACTGAGTAGTCAGGATGCATGGTTCCCCCTTGTGTCCCTGATTCTATTTCTTTTTGGGACAGGCATTGCCTACTGGAGTGCAGTATTTTTCTCTACGTCTCTGAGACTCTTCTCTTCATTATGGTTAACACTGATGAGGTAAAACAGCATGATGTCATATAATTATGTTATTTTAGATGACTTTAACCACCTCTGTTTCCTTCTGTGTGAATGTCTGGGCAGATTGAACTCTGCAATGTAGTTAATATGTCATTTTAGACATCTGGGTTTGTAAGTGTTAAGAACTAAAGGAATATGATGATTGCCTCCTATTCCTTATTCCCCATCTCCAGAAGAGAACATAAATGGATTTCTTGTTATCTTCACCAGCTGTTATAAAGGTTTTCATTTTGGTTTTAAGGATAACTTGTAGGGGAAAAGAAAACAAATGAGCTATTCCCTTTTCAGCAACTCAAGGAAAAAAAAGTATATATTTAGAAAAGGGACTATAGTCTTAGAATCCATTCCTCATTAGTGATATTGGATCAACTGCATTAAATAATACAAGCAGGTTTCTAAAATAAAAACTTCTTGAACATTCATTTTACTCTACAAGACTGTTTAATTATATAGGTATGTCTAAGAACACTGGAATGCATTTGGTTGTACAGATGAGTATTCAAATATGAAAGTGGTTTTAAAAATGAAAGGAAAATAAAGAGATTTTGAGAGAGTAAGTTAGTAAATTGAATAACATGCTTCTCTGAGGTTATGGTTTTTGTGGCTTGCGTGTTCTGACAGAGGTACAGTCCTCATTTCGATTTGAGCCAAATTGTCTGCAGAAGGCTGGTTGGGATGCTCTTTAAGTAAATACCCACTAAATGATCTTTTTCTTCTTCTAATCATAGCAATTCTGGTCTTACTTGACCAAATAATAGATGTGGATTTGGCTATTTTTTCTCTGCCATTTTGTTTATAAAATACAGTGGATGTTTTAGTATTAGTTTTAAGTGACAAATTAATGAATTTCTGAGTTTGAAGTTATTCCTATTAAATTTTTAAGGGTTTTACCTCAATTCCTACTCTTTTCATTAAAGCTTTTGATTTCTCGACCCTGAGAATGCCTTGGGCAGAGGCAAGAAAATAAGATTTTGTGTGACTACTTGTAAGTCAGCTGGTTCATTTTTAAATTCTAGTGCCTTACACAGTTCTGGTACCTAACATGGGTTTTGATCTACTCCTGAATTCCTTGATAAAAACCTCAAAAATTATTTTCTATAAATCTCTCTGAAGTAGATAGCCTTCACTTGAATTTTGCTTAGTGTTCATTTGATAAGAAGGCTTTTCTTGCAAAGTAGTTTATGTAGCGGTTGTTAGATATGTTCAAATTTGTCTAACTTTATTTTTCCAGTGTTAAATCAATATTCAGGAATATTTTTTTCTTTTCAGTCATTCAAAAACCAGAATTATTCTTTCATCTTTTTAGGTCTGATGTCATTACAAAAATATAACAGTAATTTTCTTTCCTTTTTTTTTTTTTTTTTTTAGACCTACTGTACTGCAAAAAGATAAGTTGATTACACCTCGAAGACTCTGTGGGGTGTTATCTCTTGCTTTAGTTAGCTGGACAACTTGTGGTGCATTTGCTGTATTCCTTATTTATCTTCAATACTTGTTTAAGGTACTGAAAGGCTAAACATTCTGAATTTGTAACTGGATTGAAAATTTTATATGCTTTAAATGAACCCCATGTTAAAATCAAAAATCCAAATTACCATTTTTCATACATTAATGTTCTTATTCTCATACTTGAAATAGGTTCTTTTTTTAATTTAGTGGAGTGTAAACAAAAACAACTGCTTTGAAGAGAAACTTTAACAAAGGGAGGATTTGAAATGATCTGTAGAATATTTTATACTTTTCATAAATCTTTATGGAGTAAAAGGAAGGAGGGTGGATATATTGAAGAATTAGGGTAGTCTTCTTGTATGTGTAATCTGCTCCCTTGGGTAGTGCCACAAAGACCCATATTTGGTCCCTGTCATTGAGTTTCCATGGTCTTCCTTGCATCAGAGCCTCTGACTCCTCTGATTCATCCTATAGTTATATAGCTGTTAAATCAGCTGCTGTACTTGGCTCCTAGGGAAGCAGGGGAGCATGGATCTGGGAGCAGGGGCACAAAGCAGAGCAGCTTTGGTGGTCTGGAGCAGGCAAGTGGCAGCTGAAAGCACAGCCTGAGGAACAGCACTAACTCAAATTGAACTCCATGTGACATAAGGTTCTGCAAAGACTGTTCCCATGCTGACATAACTCCCCCTTCTGCAGTACATTTCTGACATGGAACTTCTCCTGTATGACCTGTTTAGGCTTCTGCAGAAAGTAAAGTAGAAATAAATTAGCAGGAGGTGAGGAATGTGCAGGTTTCCCACTCTGTCAAGCACAGTAGAAAGGGAGAAAGCAGAGCAGCCTGTTTTCTCTCTGTGCTTGGAAATTCCTCCTTAATAGAGCACTTTGGACGCTGCTGATAAAGACAGAGGGAATTTTTGCACTGCAGCTCTCTTGGGGCCCTAAAATCATCTAGCTATAAAAAAAGAAGTAAAAATAATGTCCTCCTTTTTTTTTTCTATATTACAGCTTTTTGTGAAGAAACATTGCTAAAAACTGAACTCTTTATCTTGTAGATTATAAAGCTGCATGTGAGTGTAAGAGCAGAACAAAACAAGCTCAACAGGGTAAGTCTGTTTCCTGCTTCTGTTCCAAACTAATACCAAAAATTGTTTGGCAAACTTATGCATTATGAATTGGTAGTAATAGGCTGTGCTGTGATGACTGGATGAAACATAGTTAAAAAAGCCAGAAAAAGTTGTTGAAAGTTTTCCTTGGGTTTCTTTGAGTGGATTTTTTGTGTGTTTCTTTTCTAATCCTCTCCTTTCATTTTCATATAATTTTGTTTTGTTTCATTTGGGGGAGGTGTTCTGTCATTGGAAGTTAGTATCTGCCAACTCATTAGTTCATCTTTGCTATTTATTCCCACAGCTAATATTTTACTCCTAGTTACATTACCTCCTATATCTTTTCTGTGAATGATCATCTGTGATTTTTCACCTACATGCTTTATTACTCCTTTTATTCTGTTCTTCCTCCTTCCAGGAACTCCATTTCTTATCACTGCACTGGTGTCAGGGCATCTCCATGCTCCATTCTTTTCTTCCACAGACATCTAAACTCATAGTGTATGAGAAATTTCTGGTTAAATTTAGATGCTTTAAAATTGAACTATCGAATTTCACTTTTGATGGCTTTTTGAGGCTTAAATTGCAAATTTTCTTCCTAATCAGACTTGGTGTGATACTCTTAGGATTTTTTTTTTTCTATCCTCTTTCCCCAGCATGGGTTCTTAGAAGCCTGTGCACATTTTTGTGACTTTCTGTCTTTTATTTTCAGGGTTCAGACCACTCAAAAGAACCTTCACAGAACTCCAGTATAAACACAGTCAAACCCCAGATTTCGATGGACAGTGTTCCAGAAGCAAACCAACCTCTTGCCAACAGTACAACAATTGCTGAAGCTGTTAACAGTCTTAAGATGCATGTTACAATCCTCAATTTATTCACGTGGATTGTGCTGCTCAACTTACCATCTTTAATTTATTGGCTAAAAAATCTTAGGTAAAGTCTTAAATTGTCACTAAGGTGGAAGAAAGGAGTATGAACCTTTGAGGAATATAAAAATTGGAAATGTTTCTCTTTACAGTATTAGCTACCTTATAGTTTCAAATATTTCTGTTAATTATTATTGTCTTCTCTCTGCAATCTGGTTTGTGCTGTGGTGTAAGTAGGTGTTAAGGGAATCAGTGATATGTTGAAGAAAGTAGTGATTCAGAAATGATTTAAAATCAGGCTCTGATGCTATATAGATTTCATGTATATTTGTTATCAGCACATGCTTGTTCCCAATGTAGATATTATTTGGTAGCCTAATTTGGAAGTAACAAGCTTTTTAAACCGTTTCTTTGCAGGTACAGTGTTAGACTTGAGCCTGATCCATGTAGATCTACAGCTATTATCATCGTATGCATTTTAGAAATTCTAATGAATTCAAGTACTTCTGAAGTGAAATCAAGGTACTATAGCCTAATCTTTAGTTTTGTTTTCCTGCTTCTTTGTTACTTGCCATTTGTGTGGTAAAACTTAATTTATGCTGTACAGACCTGTAATTGTTCAGCCCATGTAGAGATTCAGGAACTCATGTGGTAAATCCAAAAGACCAGGTAAAACATATGCAAATTACCTCTAGTTCAGCTAAGTGGAGAAAATCCTTTGTATTTGCCACATAGAAATAAATTAGTCATGTGCTGTCTAAGCAGTTGGTTGCATAACTACTTCTTACTGTGACTTTTTAATTCATGATTCATTGAATCCTTTCAAATGTTACAGAACACTAATACATGTAGCAATATTGTCAGAAAGTTACAAAGAAAAGTGAATTCTAAAGCATTATAGTAATGTTTTTGTAACTCCTCATGTGTTTTCTACTGGCTTGAGAAGTTTTGAGCACTTGGTTTTGCTGAGAGATAGAGCATGTCTTGTCCAGATATGAAATTAGTGAATGCCTCAGCAATGGCAGTGAATAATAACAAATGTCATTTAACCTGTTGATCAGTAACTGTTGCCTCAAGTGATCTAAACCATTAAATCTTCCTTTGTTAGAGAACTTATTTCTAAATTAATATAGGAATATTTTAATGACATTTTACTACCCCTTTTGAGTAATTGCTCTTGCTTATGCATCAGTTGTTATTGCCCATTAGACCTAGTTGTTCAGTTTTAAAAATTAAAAAAGCCTTGCAATATAAATTGTTTTACAAAGGAAAGTGAAATACGGTATTTGTGCACCTTCTGTGTGGATGGGCTACAAAAGTGGTAATTTTTGTTTTTGTACTCTTACAGTAAACTCTTGAAGATTGCAGCCAAAGTTCCACTCCCTTTGTCTGTTGCGATGCTGGCCTTCGGACGAATGCATTTATACCGAGTGCCACACTTTGTAACCTTTTCTCTTCTCCTACATGTGCTGTGCTGTGTTGTGTAATGTTCATTCTACATAGGAAGGACAGTGCACTCAAGAAACTTGACACTGGAGATGGGGCAAATTTCAGCAAAGAAATGCCTAAATTAATGTCATCAGTTGTTTACGCTACGTGGGGAAGAGAACAGAACTGTGAATCCTTTATGAAAAGTTCCTGGTTCTGTTCATGTTGCATAGAAAACTTTTCACAGTCTTTATGTCCTGACTCTTAAAATCAAGTGATTTAACTGTGTGTAAGCACATAAATCATACCAGTGCAACATCTCAATATTCTGCCTTGTAGACACTTTGATATTTCACTATATTGCTTTGTTAAAACAGACTTTTTTTACTCACTGTGCCATACAGTGTGTATGCTCTGAACTTGCATCTCTTGCAGGTCTAAAGTATGCTGGTTAAAACTCAATACATTTCAAGCACACTGTGACTATCACAAAAACTACACAGCCAAGTATACTTCTAATTATTTTATGTACATTTAAAAGCTGCCACAGTTATGTCTAGACAAACTAGAATGTACTGCTTATATAGAACTGTTATTTCTATCAAATCATTTGTTCAATCAGTGTGATTTGAACATTTGTGAGATTATTAAAAGTCTTTCTTACACTTTTTACTTTTTGTGAGAGTGAGAAAACAACAGTATTCTATGTAGCTTTCTATTCAGGAAGGATACCAGCAGATTCATAAACAATTTGCTGTGATGTTGTTTTAAAACATTCAGTTTTCTCTGGCACTTTGAAATTAATCCTTGGACTTTGTCCATATGTAGAAGCTAGCAAACCTTGAGGTGTGGTGTGAGTTAAGGGTGCAGTTGCTGTACTGCAGTGTTTCCAAGTAGACAAGGTAGGCTTTTTTGCTATTGTAAACAGAGAATCAACCATCTCCTAATAAATGCCCACACGTGAAATGAATATGGAATAGTTACAATATTGTAAACTCCTGCCCTGCCATACAGTGCTAACTTCTGCATGTGGACAAACTCTTAGTAATAGTGGGAAATACTGACCATAATTATTAGCTCTGTATAAACTATTATCTTAGTGCCTAGATGCTACAGTGACTGCCATTTATAATAAAGCCTAAAATAGCTATGTGTAAGGAATTCTGTCCCCTGGGCATGTGTTTTGCCAGCAGAAGAAATCTCAGTAGCCATTAGGTTTAAATGATGTGTTGATTCTGTGTAGAGATGAGCCTACTCCTTGCTTCTGTGTTAGCTGTCTCTGCTGTGTCTGAGGTACCTGTTACCTTCATATGGAAGTACCAGACCAGCTCAATCATCTTATAGGAATAAAGAGAGGAAGTCTACTGCTCACAGTCAATCAAATATATTCTTGATACAGTAGTACAACCAGCCTGACCCTTTAATTTAATTGTATCTCATTAATCTTGCCTGAAGTGCCTCAGTTAGTTCTAACGTGGTTTTAGGGTCCATTCATCTGAGCTGGCTGGAATGACTCAACTCACCCAGGGACTTTCCAGAATGAAGGACAAACGTGAAGTAAGGATGTGTTTTGTTTGCTTATATCCAAATCAGCAGTTCAAGTTATTAGTAAGTCATTAAAACTGCTGTAAACTGAGTAAGGCTGTTGTAGTCAGCCAAACCACTGTCACTGTTATCAGTAATCTGTGTGCTGGTATTCTAGTCTTGACCTTTTTAAAAAAAGGTTAGGTTATACATAGTGTTGTAAATCAGAAAAGTTATTTGAATTGATAATATCTTGATATTTTGTAATCAAATGTATGCTACAGTATATGTATATAAGAATTTGTGTGACTAAATATACTTGTAGTTAAATCCAACTCTTGGTTTAACCAGAAATTGCTGTTCAATCATAGAAGAATAGAGTAGTTTTTCTACTTGCAAATGGCTGTGAATGAAAGATGGTGGCAGAACTGCATTAGGGCTGTCTGTGAAATGTGCAGGACCTGATCTCTGTGGAAGATAATTTTCCTTGACCCTCATGGTCCTTTTGACTTACTGCTGTATTTTACTTCTGATTTTATATTGCCATCTTAATTGTCTCTTTATGCATTAATACATTTGCTGGAACTGTTGGTGAAAAGTGATAATCTGAATGAGGAGAGCAAAGTCTCTGCATGTAGTAGCTTTGATAGCTTCCAAAATACACCACAATGTGAAACCTACTGAATTAAAGCAGCATAGAATAACACCAATTTTTTTAATTTAACTTTTTTTTTTTAAACTGGGAATTATATTGATAGTTATTAGCACTCTTCATAAAGTTCCAGAATCTTGTATATATTCCTGCTTGATTTTCAGGTTGGAGGTAGGAATAGATATAATACTGAGTCTGAGATCCCAGAGGGCAAGGGTTTATCACATCTCCCTTTTCTCAGAGATAGTTTACTTTTGGTGGGGAAAGGAGGGGAAATCTTACTCCTACTTTGGATTCATATGCATTGTGTGCCATTTGATAGATTAAAATTGTTGTCAGAGATGTGCATCTGGATTTTGCAGTGATCATGGACTGGACACCTTCAGCTGTTTGGCAGATTAGGAGTCTAATCCCAATTAGATCTTCTATATAATCAGTGGGTGGTAATAGGATTAGAAGAAGTCCGGAGAAAAACCTGTCCCGTTCTAAGAGGATGAATTATCCTGCTTGCCATTCTGGAAGGGACTAGATTTTATAGCAGTCTAAAATTATTTTTCAGGTAAATACAATGATTGATTGCTACTTTTGGACAAGGAGCTTCTGTTAGGCAAATCTGTAGTTCTGCCACTGTTCACAATTACCATTTTAGCAGAAACGTAGACTAATCCAATATAAATACTTTTAATTGCATATATGAGGAGGTGTAAGTATTACTGAAATATCCTTTATTATGAGTAGGGTGCATTTATAAACAGCTTTTGGCAAATACATTATAATACCTCTTATTACCTTTAGCTAAATTAAAATTCCAGTTTATTCTTCAAATTTTAGACTATGTAGACTGTGTGGGAAAAGATCAAGACACAAATTAACTTGATATTTGATATGACAGCTAATTTTCCATGTGTTTGCAAGTTACAAGGTGATGACCTTGTTACTTGACTTTTTTCTGAAATCTGATACATCTGCTTCTAAGCTTTGACAGGACAGAATAAAGTCAATTATGTGCCTGTCAATAGATGTTAACATTTGAGAAACTTTCATTCAAATCAAGTTTATTTCAATACAGTGATGAGTATATTTAGACTTTATTTGCACTGAGAAAAATTTGCTGACCTTCAATACTCTGAGTTATGAACATGTTTTTGGAAGCTGTTATAGTGTCTGTACAGAATTGTACTGCTGTTTTAAGTCATTCAGCTGCTAGAAAATTGTTGTTGCAAAACAGACTAAATTCTTAATGCTTATTTTTCATTTAATGGTGAATGTTTCTCACTTAATTTACAGCTTTGACATTTTGCATCTCTTTTTTTCTGGGAGATAATCACTTTTATAAGCACTTAACTTGGTACTGTGAAATATAAAATTTTCCTCACTCTTCCTTTAGGGGAGACCTGCTTCTGTCACCAAAGCTCCCTGCTGCTGTTGTATACCCTCTAGGAAATGTGTGCCAATGGACAACAATTCAAAACTAATTCCTTTTTTAGGTTAAAGTAAAATAGTTTTTCTGCCTTTTTTTTAGAACCAGAACTTTAGACTAGAATATTAGAATCCGTAAAATCTTAAAAAATTTATTTGAAAACCTTTTGCAAAGATTATACTTTCTGATTTATATTGTTATTTATGGAAGAAAGTGTTCGATGCTTTTAATCAGCTCATCTGTCCTCAAACTTAAATAAAAACTATATGTTTTGTCTTATTAATAAACATTAATGCTTCTAAAAATTAATGTTAAGCATTTAAGGAGAAAATTCCATAGCTCTTACTTAAGCAAATCTGCCCAGCAGCTCCATTTTCAGGTCTAAGCACGTAACCACCTCTAATATGTGCTTGTTGCCTTGTAGCATAAAAAACCTGAGGTGGGATGTTTGGACTTTAATTTTGCTTAAGATTTAGGCTTTCATTCTGCATTCTTAAAAATAGACAGATTTTACTACTCATGCTGTCATAAACAAGCCTTGTAAGCATGGCCTCTCTACAGTTGTTGGCAGGTTGTGGTCTGGATTCTGTAGGAATTTGTGTGGTATCAGAGCTAATTTTGCGTCTGTGAACACCAGGAATGGCACACAGAAACTTGTTCTTTTGTGGCACATCATTCCAGTTTCTCCTTCCATGTGCAGTTATCTTTGGTTTGCAGTGTCCTTCCCCTGTAGTACAAACCACAGTGTTCACAGAACATGAGGCACCATGGCTGGCCTGGTGTAGGCTGTTGTTCTAGTGAAGCTTTGCCTGTTTGTTGAAATACTGGCCAAAACTCTTTTTTTCCCTTCAACTTAAATAATTTCAGAGTATATATATTAAGCATCAAATGTGCAAGTTGTGTTGATGTTTAGTTTTACAAAAGGCTGAGTGCACTATTTTGGCATCAATTCAGGCTTCAGTATTTTCCACCTACATCACTTTGAGTGTGAACAGTATTTGAGACTGCAGCACCTGACAACTGAAATATTTTACAGAAGTCTACAGGTAGTAGACAGGACACATATAATTAGAGTGCCAGACCAAAACTGATATGTCAAATTCCTCACTGTGACTTTAAACTTGTAGCTTTCTAGAGATAAAAATATAGAAAAAAAATACTGTGCCTTAAACCAGTAAATGAATACACTCTTAACTGTAACCTGTGGACTTCTGTAGCCTTATATTCAATTTTTGAAGTTGACCAAAAATGTTTGTGTGGATCATACTGAAACTCGATTTGGGGAAAATTATTTTGACCCCATTTTACACTTAGAGAAGTGAAGATTTATGACAAGTACTATATATTTTTGGTTTGGAATCACACCAACCAAAGTTAGAAAGCTTTAGCTAACCTTAATTTCTCAAATCTTTTTGTTATGTAGAAAAGAAAAATAAGGAAAAGTAGTCTCAGATATTTGTCTCAACTTTGAAGTCTGTGTGTCAAATTTTTTGGAAACATTTTGTTCTTTATTTTCTTCAAAATAAAAAAAAAAAAACCAACCTCTAATTGTAGTTTAAGCAAAATACTGTATTAAGCCATTGAATATCAAAAATCTATGCTGGTGTGAGAAGAAAACTAGAAAGGGGTGAGATTAATTGTTTGTGTTAAGACTCCAGAAGTGTTGAATAATAAATTCACTTTTTAGGAAAAATATTCACATGTAAGTCCCTGAAAATTCATATATAAATTCCCTTTTTTTGGGGACAAAATTTATACATTGTTCTTCCTAATTCATTAAAGAAAACCAGAAATAGTCGAGATCTTAAAATGTTGTTTTAATACAGTAGAAGATTTCTTACATATATTTTTTTGATATGAAGAGATAAGGAAAAGCCACTGCTGTCTTTCCTCATATGTCTCCAGAGGATTCTTTGTATGTTTTGAACAAACACCCACAGATTGTGACTTCTTCACCTTCCTGTGTTCGCACCATGTAACATGGGATCTTGAAAAATGATGCCATCTCAAAGCTGATTGTTGTACTGTGGGTATTTAGATATGCACACACAATGACTGCATGTCAGCAGATCACACTAGTTGTTTGAAGCAATACAAATCAAAGTTATTAACTTTCCTTTATTGACAACTACCTTGACTCTGAGTGCCACAATGCTGATGCTGTGGCACACCAGATAACATGCAATTTTTGTGTCTTCCCTGCTACTTCCTTCTGTGTGTTCATTTAGGGCTCTTAAAACTCATTCTGGTCACCTAAGTTTTTCTTTTGTGATGATGTTTCAAGTAATCCTACTCATTGGTGATTTCCTAGCTACAGGAATGTTCTAGTATTAAAATTTATTGAGGGGGAGAACTACCTTTGTGGCCTTTATATATGATGATAACTCGAGGAAAAACTCTGTAACTTGATTCCCCATCTACCTTTTAATTGTTTTTCCAGGCACAAAGACAGAAGGATGTTGGCAAAAATATCTGGTTTGGGTAATTAGAGGGGAGTTGCTTGTTTGGGTTTAAGAGGACTTAAAACTTGGAAGAACACATACATAATTTTTGGAAAAATCTATCAGAAGCAACCTGTCTTACATGTTTTTAAGTCTTCCACTGTTTTCAGTTCTTACATAGCTACTGTCAACCTGGTGTCGTGTTGTACATGGAACTAACTCTTAATAATTACAGGTTTCTAGAGATGTTGACAGGGTCTTATCTGTAAATGTTTGAATGATGCTATAGTACATTATTGTGCTTATTAAAATGTTTATAACCAAGTTGTTACAGGTCGTGCCATGCATCATAAGCTTTGGCAAAGCCCTTGTCTTGTGAGATGCTCAGAAAACCTTGGAGTGGAGGTATTTTCAGTTAATGTTGAAATTGCAGAAAACTGACATCTCATAGTCTTTAAAAAACTGTGCTTTTAGATACTGCTACTCTTTTGTTGTAGTTGAGGGCAACTTGATTGGGAACTACTCTGGGATATTCATGTTTTGTTTGATGTTTTCCCAGTATGCAATGTATACTTCAAATTTTTTTATTTGTCTTTTTTTTACCTAAGTGTGCATGACTTAGAGCACATTGTATAGCACATCCCCTGCTAAATGAACACTATTGTATATTTTCATGTGGTGTCCTAACGTGGTTGCATTAGTACAAATAGCTGCAATTCACAAAAAAGTGCCACGTACCAGTCATAGTCTGTAGAGTGTTGTGTGACCTGTACTTCTGTTGTACAAACACGCTGACGAGTGTTGTGATGAACGTTTGCCTTAGTCTTTGCTCAGGTACTCATGTGGAGCAGTCTGGTGCTTTTCCTTCTAACTTGTAATACTTGGAATTCTAAGCAGAAAATAAAAATAGCAAACAAAAGCCTTGTGGTTGGAGCAGTGCTTTAAGAGATGCTTTTTTCACATGTCAAGTAGAGTACAATAAAGATCATACTGGATGAAGCCCGTCTCAGTATCTTAACTTGAATATCTTAGGCTTGCTGTCATGAATGGGAAATGCAATAAAATTCAAAATGTTTGGTGAATAATACAGTTTGCATAGAGCATCATATGTGTAAAACTTCTTCTCACCTAAACTAATGCATTTTAAATTTCTACCTTTTTGAGGTAAATTGCACAAAACTGAACCAGCAATGCTATGAGCATCTCCAGCTTCAGGACAATTTAATTCAAACATACATGAATATTACTTACTGTGCCATAAGGGTAATATAATTAGTATAGACACTCTGAAAAGATTTGATTTACTGAAGATGTGTGTCAAGAAAATGTAATGCTTAAATTGGGGTGCATTTAAAAGGCAGCACACTGACATCTGGCTCTGAAAGCATTTGTTAAACTTAGCTACTGTTCTCAAAGGAGGATGCAATTTTGTTCAATCAGTGTAAGTATACTAATAGTATTTTAATATGAATGCGTTCTGCTTATTTTTTACTTTCTCTGAAGGAAAGAACTGAATTTTAAACCCCCCCCAACCCTGCGCATTAAAATGAGCCATAAGTCTAAACAGACTTTTAGCTCCAACAGTTTCTCAGAATTTTTAGCTGAGGAAGCAACAATACAAGTGTGTAAGGATTTTTTTTTTTGTTTTTTTTAAAGACAGCTCACAGAAAATATATGCCAATTGAATCTCTTGCATATCTGCATACTTCATCAGTCACCCAGACTGCCTGAATTCCTGCAGTAATAAAGCTTGTTTCAAATTCACAGATGACTTTGGTATGTTTTACTAACTGGATATACTGTGTATTCCTCAATTTGTTCTTTATAAAGAAATCAAAGGAATAAATTAATTGAGGGGAAAAAAGGGGCCGTTCTGTTTTTTGTTTTTTTTTCCCTACCCTCTTCCTAAAGCTGAATAAGGAAATAAAATCTAATCCCAAACTGTAAACCATGCCTTTTCCACTTTCTGTCATTTTCTCTAGAGGAGCATATTTCTACTTCTGACTGAAATAAGTATCTACCTAGAAAATCAATAAAGGAAGTTCCCTTACATTGGGTCCTGCCTATTTAGAAGTTATTCAGTTGCTACTGCTGTGTTCTTGATGAGTCCACTATCTGGAAGTTGGCTGTTATAAAAAGTAATGGATGGAGGTTTGATGGATTGTCTTTTTGAGGGCATGAATTTTTTTTTTTAATCCATATCTGCAGAATAATACACAAGCTGGATAAATTCTCTTGAATTTTTATATGCTGCTGCAGACATGAAAATAATACTGCTAGCATTTTGTTTACTGTTTTGCTAATGATGTTTGGATGTCCAAAACTTTGTCTTCTGGAAGGGTGATGGTAGGTTTTTGTTTTGCTTTTAAAATTTAAAACAAAAGTGTAAAGCTTCTAGTCAGAAATAAACATCTATAATCTGGATTAAGATAATGATCAAAAATCTTTAGTTTTAACATGTCTATTTAGAGATATATTTTATGTGATACCTAATCAAGTATCATCTATATAGTGGAGGAAACAGTGTAGTGAAATTATAAACAAAAAATATGAGCAGCTCAGATATGAAGAATTCTATGAAATAAGACCAGGGTAAATTAGCATAGTTCTCCTTGTCTTAGTTTCTAGTCTGAGAGGAGGATATTAACTGCTGATAAAATCAGAGTAGGAAACCAATGCTTCCATGAAAAAGTTATAATTTTGGATATTGAAACAGACCTTACTTTTCTCTCTCTTTTTTCCAGCATCAAGAAAATGATCCATATCTCATTTGCTTGAGAACCATTAGTCACCATTCTAGAGATATGGCTAATTCCTTTTAATTAAAAATAATATTTTGATACAGCTCTGCTATCTCTGCTGGAATTGTTTTAAACTTATTATGTTCTTACCACCAATTTTCTGCAATACAGCTTAGGAGGAATTTGTTCGATAGCAACATGTCTGAAGAGTATCAAGGATGAAATTCTCAAGGGTCTTTATGTCATGGATGGAAATGGAATCATTACTGTATTTTTGAACTCCTGCTAACGTCATTGACACCCACCTACAGTCCACTAGAAATATAAGAGCAGAGATCAGTTTGTTCACAGATTACGGGCAGACTAACCAAGAAGGGGCAAGCCAGAGCCAAATCCACTGGTAAGCTTTATTTTAAAGAATGTGAAAGGGAGAATTTTTTTTCTCCCCTTGGGTCAAGTTGTGAACTGTGTCCCTAGGATATTATACCAGGCTGTGTTGCTATTGCACTTATTAATATATGTAGTACAACTTCATTTAATCTGATTTTAAAAATTGAGCTATCTGGATCTCGAGCCATATTTTTGCATTCTTCTTGGAGCACACAGAGTTCTGACGCTGTAGCTAATCAGCCCCTGAAAATGGCTCTAATAACAAATGCAAATTTACAAATGGAGTATTTTCTGTTAAATGTTCTACTAGTCCCTCAGTGTCTAAAAATAGCTTTGGTATGGGAAACACTTCCTGAGAATAATTTGTTCTTCCTAGTCCCTTAGCACTAGAAAACCCCCCAAAAAAAGCTGGTAACTTTTTTTACATAGATGTAATCTGCAGTAGGCAGATTTTCCTTGGATTAGCATGGTTGATTTATGTGTTACTAGTGACAGCTCTGTAGGACTTAAGGAGCATGTATGTTTGTCCTTCTTACAGACTGCTCATCTCCAACATGTGGAAAGTGGTGCTCCTGGGTGTATACATAGTGTTGGCTGTGAGAGGATTGGCAAAGGGTGCTCCTTTCCAAGCAGAAGAAAAATGGAAACCTCTAGATAACCCGAGAAACAGAGACCTGGTAAGGAAATGCTTCAAGAAAGACAGATAAAGTATTATGTGATTTTTTTGTTGTTGTTGTTTTCCATCAAGAGACTTTTTATCTTCTAAATTTAAAGATAATAGGAGTCCATTAGATGAAATGTTAGCAACTGTGCCCTTTGTATAGTCAATAACCATTTTTCAGTCAAGGTGTACCCTTAACTGACGAGACGTCCTCAGTGTGCAGTAGTGCATAAAGCTTCCTTATATCTCCTTCCAGCAATTTTAGTTTTTAAAAATGTATTTTGATTATACAACTACTTGTTTCATGAAACAGAAGAGGAATGATTACTGTGTTTCTTTCAGATATGTACTCTGATTGCATGTTGTTTCATTAAATGGAAGTGCAAATCCATTTGCATCCAACATGTCATGAACAGTGACTAAAGATCTGAAAGTGAATTATAGCTAAGAAAATACCATTATGAGAACATTGGCACAATCTTAAAAAGAATTTGTGAAGGAAAAAAACCCTGTTTCTCATAGTTCTTCCTCACTGTTTTAAGAAGCATCAGTTTCTACTTTTAACTGTTTATAAGGGTACAGTTCAAATCAGTTGCCTACTGTTGCTGACTCCTAGAGAAATGTTTAACAGAACTGTCCTGTTTCCTCTCAGCAAGGGTTTGGCTGTGCCTGTTTTATGACGGGATACAGTTTGAATCCCCAGTGATTCAGTGGGAGCATAAAAGAGCAGTAAATAGTTTGTGGCCTTTTGACTTCACATACAAGCCATGGATGGAGTGGGCATGTCTGAATTATGTTGCCTATACTGTATCAATGTATCATCAAAATGTAGAGGATTTCATTCCACAGAGGAGCAAATATTACATCTAATTTGTGTCAGTAGAAATGATTACTCTCCGTTGGTGATGCTCTACTTATTTTCACATATGCCATATGCTCAGTTTTTCAGAACGCTCCAGGCTTATTTTTCGGGCAGGGGGCTTGATCTCAGGAAGTTCCCAGCTGCTGTCACTGTGAACAATGAAGGACCAAAGCCTCTCATGTTCTACGCAGATCCAATTGCTTCTGCATTTGCAGATTACGAAGAAAGGAAAAATTCTTTTCCAAATCATTTCAAAGGCTGAAAGATGCTGTTGACCAAGGTAAAAGAGGAGGCCTTGTCCTCTGATGTTGTTACAGGTAACCAGGAGAAAGATTTGGATTCAAGTGATTTTTGCATCTGACTGAAGTGTAAAAACAACCACTTTTTTAGAAGGAACTAAAAATGTAGTACCTTAACTCTTGACTGAAATGGTTTTTAACTTCTTGAGTTAGAGATTTATGAGGTATTTACTACTTAAATAAAATAACACATGGTTCTTGTGCAGACCTATATAGACCATGCTTTTTTATTTTCTCTTTCTTTCTCCCCTCTTTCACGTGGAGAAGCATTCTGAAAATGTACAGGTAATAGGGAATGCAGATTTTATTTAAGTAATTGATACCAGTAAAATTATAAGTTGAGACTAATGGTTTCTTATGCTATATGTGTATTAAGAAAATTAATTTAGACAAAAGATATTGTACTGCCCAAGCATACATTATCTTCTACATCTTTGTCCATTGCTGCTGTTTTCCTTATTTCTATGACTAAAATTGAAGGTTGATAGTAGGATTGCACCTTATCCACATCTCTCCTTAAATGTAAAACAAAATGGAAGTGGGTTAAACTTGTATTATTAATAAATCTAGCCTCAATTTATAGGAGGTACTTCTCAGCTATTTTATGTATGAATAACCATACTCTGTAACAAATAAATCCTTTTTTGTATCTCCTTCTGAAAGTGAATATTGGCAATTCTGAGGAAAGGTAAATAATTGTTTTCTTCTGTTTTACAAATAGTTGAGGATTTCAGTAAGATTTGAATCTAAGCACTTTGGTGATTTACTCAGTATCTTAAAGAGCTTAATTTGTCATCAATACTCAGCCTAGGATTTCCATCTCTGTCCTGCTCTCTGCCTGCTTAACCACATAGCTCTTTGTAATCAAAAGTGAAGCTCCACTACTCTTACTATCATGAATCAGAATGAAGACTGCACTCAGATTTTAATACTAAGTTCTCTTTTTGCTGAGCTTTTATGCCAGGGGAAAAAAAAAACCACCATAGATTGAATATTGTGCATGAAAAATAAATGAAAAGGGACTTTAGAAAGGATGCTGTAGCTCTACTATAAGTCACAGCAGCAATGAGAAAGTGACTGGTGGAAGTAATTTGTCCTGGATAATTCAGGATGGTCACGGCAGTTCTTTTCAGCGTTCTGAGCTGTTTTCTGGAATTTGAGGTCTGCTGTGCTCAGTTGGGCTGTTTCAGCCAGTGTTACCAGGTCTTGGTTTGGATCAGACCTTGGTTGCATATAGATATTTCTGTATTTGTGTAATATTTTTTTTTGTCTTTTACAGGCTGTAGAACTTCACATGAAGTGATAACCTTCACAGCAAAATTTTACTGCTTTGACTTTTTCTTACCTGACAATTTAAAATGTTCTTCACTGTCACGGTTCCTACCTATGGAATGTGATGTCATGCTGTAATTAGCATATATTCGGTCTCTTGACATATGTGGGCTGTTTGGCTGCAACAGTCGGCTGAGCAGAATTGTGTTTGAGTGTGAATAAACGAGGAGTGCAACAGAGTGCTTGTGATTACTGCTAAGTGTCTTTGTGCAAAACTCAGAAATAAATGTTAGCTTTCAAGTTATTAGAACTAGATATGTCCTAAGGTGTTCTGAGGCAATTTTTCAGATACGCTTTTGCTGAAAGCCCTTTCATTTCTCAGGTGGCTGAAGTGAACACTGGCCAGTGGCTGCTTGTGCCTCACCCCCAGCCCCGCACACCCGTTTCTGACCCTGCCCCAGGCAATAAGTCACCTACACCATCACCGTATCTGTAGATGGAGTCACAAAACCCCTCCTCCCCTAAAATGGTCCCCCATTTCTGCGGAAATAACCTGACACCTGCACTGAGGTCGGTGACAGAGGACTTGCCCTCACCTCCCTGACCTCAGGACCCGGCCCCTCCGAGGCAGCGACCGCAGCAGCGGCACCGTCCGGAGCCTCCCGAGCTGGAGCCCCCCCGGCACCCGGAGCCCCCCAGGATCGGGATCCCCTCGGGATCGGGAGCTCCTTCAGCCTCCCCCGGTACTGGCGCCGGCCGGAACTCCAGTGTGAGGGCGCGGGCTGCAGCGGGCGCCATAGCGGGCGGGACGCGGTGCCGCCTGCGCAGCGTTCCCCCGGAGCGGGTCGAGCCGGGGCCATGTCGGGCTTCAGCCCGGAGCTGATCGAGTACCTGGAGGGGAAGATCTCCTTCGAGGAGTTCGAGCAGCGCCGGGAGGAGCGCAAGAGCCGCGAGAAGGTCAGTCTGCCCCGCCTGGCCGCCCCACGGCCCGGCCGCCCCGTCCATGGCAGCACCTGGCAGGGCACGGACCGCTGCTCTGTGTGTGTATGGGGGGCCGGCGCGAACTGCTGCCGAGCTCAGGCGGGGATAGTGGCTGCGGAGCTGTGAACTCCTGTGCACAAAGTACCAGGCACTAATTGCTGAGGTGCTGGTAGCGCAGCGCTGCGGGTCCTGCCGGGGTGGGTCGAGGTGCCGGCCCTGGCAGAGCTTGGGCAGCACTGTCCGGCCCCTCGGTTAATCGGTGCTGCAGGTCGGAGCACTGAGCAGAAGCAGGTTGGGATATAAAATGATCCAGTGTACACTGCTACGGCTCCCTCACCATCTTCTGTGGGAAGTCTAAGGCAGAGATGCAGTTTGGCTCCTCGTAGTTATTGTTTAGCTTCTTGGCAGCGGTAAAAGCAGGGAGGCACAGCTTTGTGTCTGAAAGTAAGCAGACGGTGGTATTAAGAGAAAGTCTGTATGATTTATGGGACTGTTGCAATTTACTTTAACTTCTCCATCTTTATGTCGAAATGCAACTGAATTTCTGTATTTCAAGAGCAAATTCAGGAGAACTCGCCTGTGTTATCCTAGGGAAGGACTGGTGTTATCCTAGGGTAACATTCTTGCTGGGTTAACAGGTGCAATTTCGATATATTTCATTTTGTGTTTGTTTTGGCTTTTGGAAGGATTTGTCACACATTTCTAACTTTTTTTTTTTTAATACAATCAACCATGTCATCTTACCTCAATGTAATGCCACATAAGCAGTGGACTAATCCCTTCAGTCAAAAGTAATGTGATCAATCACCATCTGATTCAGCTAACATTGATAAGACTATAAATGTCTTGAAAGCAAGTAGTGCTGGATTTTGTTCACTTAAAAATACAGCACTTATTCCACCTGTTTCACTAGCAGTGCATGAAAACCCATGGTCTAAATGATAATTGTAAATATTAGGAGAAATAAGAATAGGTCATATGGTAAAGCTGATAACTAATATTGTTGGTGTGTGCAGGATGGTGGAAATGTGTCTGCTGAGGAAAATGACGAAGATGTGGAGGCTCCATCTTCATCCAAAAAAGCGTCTGCGAAATCCCAAAGTCAGGATGAAGCTGATGGTATATCTTAACATAATAATTCTTGTTTAAAAAGTCGTTGAAAGCATTTGCTCTTCAGTAACTGACTTTTTATAAAACCTGGCTCCACTTTTCCCCTTCTGGCTTCTTAACCATATGGTCTCAGTTATTTACTCTCTCCAAAATTACAAATAAATTGAACTTTTTAGCTGATCTCAGGAAGTCTTTTCTGTTTTGTGCTGACTTTTTTTTTGTGTTCATATCTTTGATAGTCTTCTGCTGAGATTTGACTTTTTCCAGAGTATTCTGTGTGAGTGTTGCCTTCTTCCATTGTCAAACAAAGTGAAACAAAATAGCTGTAAGGAGGAGTTTATTTATTTCTCTTTCTTTGGGGTTCTTTTCTTTTGCTCAGTTATGCTTTGGAGTGCCAATGGTTATTTATCTTCTTATTTTCTGCTGGCTATTCCTAGCTACAGATTCCCTTGCTGGCTTTCTTTGTGTGGTTTACTGAAATATCTTCTGAGTGTCTTAGCAGAATAAGCTTAACTTTCTGGGGTTCTTACACAGTGAAAGGACTTGCAGGAAGTGGTAGGTGCAGCACTTCTCACTGCAGTTTGCATCAGTGCTTGTTGATCCCATGCCTCAGGTTCTGGATTTGAACTTGGGATCCAGAGTGCTGCAGTCTGTTTCAGACACCTTCTCTTCAGAAGCTGTGCTCTGGTTGGGGCATAGTCTTGTGGGATTGCTGAGGCTGTGAGATAGCAGAGTGCAATTTGGATGCCTTTGTGTTGGTTCTTAGATTCCTCTTGCTATTTTCACTGCAAATTCTCATAGTTCTGTTTAATTTTGTTTTATTGGACTTTTTTCTTTTCTTAAATTTAGAAAATAGACCTTAAATTGTCCCAGCTAAAATGTGTGTCAGTGGTACCTCAGTTTTGAAAGTATGGCCAGACCTCATCCTAGAAGCACATAAAACGAACACTGAAGTGTGGTTGGAGCCAGATATCTGGAGTTCCTTATTGACCCCTTCCTTTTGCTCATGTCTCTGAAATATTTCCAAGCTGCTCTGTTCTGCTCTGTATTCCACCTCTGTATTCCCATGTTTTTTTAATGCACATCATCTTTATCCAAGAAAAAGATATCCTCATAGGTTTGTGTGATAGTGTTACTTCTGCTCTTACTGCAGAGAACACAGAAGTGTCAAGAGCAGATAGTATCAAGGAAACATTGATAATAGTTATCACTATTTAAAGAGTTGGTATTAGAATCAGACCTAAGATATTCAGAAGAATAAAAAATGTTAGATAAAAAAAATGTTAGATAAGGTCATTGTTAAGGTCACTTTTGATACACAGATCTTCAGATGTAATCTGCTGCAATCTTCAGATGATTCCTGCAGCCAAGGATACTGAAATAAAAGGGAAATTAAATTAATAATTGAGGCTTTTTTTCAGATGGAGGGAGGAGGGAGAAAAATCTTGAGTTTTAGATGCTTGATATCCAAGTCAGAATAAAAATAACTGAACATATCCAAGTCAGAAAAAAAAAAGGAGAAGCAAAAAACAACCATAAGCTTAGGTGTAGTCCCCAGTTCCCTGCTCTGTATAGGCAATACATGATAGATTTGTTTTTCAGTCTCAGCTTGATATTGTGATTATTCTTTCATCAGATCTTTAGGTGCCCAGTCCCCCAGTTGAAACTTTTGAACCCTACATATTTGGATGTTTTACATGTAGATCTGTGGTCAGTTATAACCCTGGGCTAACTTAGTAATGAGAAATTGTAAATAAAAAATGTGAAAATTTTAAACATTGTATGCTTTAAGCATGTTTATTTGGGTTATATTGAATAATTTTCTTACTTATTTTAAGAATTCTGTTATTTTTCTAGAGAAATGTGAATAATCTGGATTTTGCATTAACACATGTTAAAAGGTACTTCTTGTCATGGATGGAATAGTCACAAGATCTTGTTTTAAATCACTTCTAAAAATTGGTTGCTGCATTTTTGTGTAGTAGAATTATCTGTTCATTTATAGCCTCTTCAGCTGAAAAGCTTAATTCCAGCCAGCCAGCTTGATGCTTGAAAATTAATATGCTTCTCTTGGATGGATTGAGAAAAATGTTGAATAAACTGTTGCTTCATTCTTTGTGTTCCTCTGTGCTTTCATTTCAAATATCCAAAAAATGTTAGAGGCTGGGGTATACTGAGCATTGGTAATGAATAACGCAGAGTTTTAAAACCACAGAGGCTCTTAATAGTTTTTCTACATTTCTGCAGGCAGCATTCTTACAGAATAGCTGCTTCAAGTGGGTTAATGTTTTCTCTGCACTTGTCCTGATAAGCAGCTTGTACCCTTGATTATATCATAAACCTTTTTTGCTTCTTTCTCAACCAGGAGAAACATCGGATGGTGTCAGTAAATCTGTTCATCGGGTCTTTGCATCCATGATTGGGGAAAATGAAGAGGAGGAGGAAGAGGAAGATGAAGAAGAAGAAGAAGAGGAACAAACTACTGAGCAGCCAACAGCTGGAGATGTTTTTGTTTTGGAGATGGTACTTAATCGAGAGACCAAGAAAATGATGAAAGCAAGTATTTAAACTTTCATGTAACTTCCCTGTATCTCCTGACCGTGCTGCATAAATGGCAGTTTTGTGTGATTTTAGCTACTTGCTAAGAAATTTGTCTGCAAGTAGTCCCACATAGGATACCTCTGCTTATGCTAGTTTTTGTTATGCTGTCTTTGTTTTCTAAAAAAAATTACTGTAGGTTGCTGTTTGAAAACTTTCAAAAATCATGAAACCAGTTTTTCCAGTGTCAGGATTCCAGCTTTTATATTTGGTATCAGAGTTACTCTGTCAGCTATGAAAATTTGAAAATCTTTTGGTCAGTCACTTAATATCACTAGTACTTAAACAACTTGCTATTAGGTTTTGTTAAGCAGAAGTGTGGCCGATGTCTCCTGGATTTGAGCACAGCTTAAACTTCGGCAGAAGTAATATCCCTTTTCCATTTAGGAGAAAAGACCTCGCAGCAAACTTCCTCGTGCCTTGAGGGGTCTGATGGGAGAGGCCAACATCAGGTTTGCTCGAGGAGAGCGTGAGGAGGCCATTCTGATGTGCATGGAAATCATTCGGCAAGGTGTGTCACACTGGGAAAACTGCTGGGCTTTAAGGGTGGGCTGAAATCTCCGTGGGCATGAGGGAATTCAGTGGGGCTTCTCTGGAGATGAAAATAATCAGTAT